TACGGGTATTTCAAGACTAACAATTTTCAGGACTAGATAAAACTATTTAATGTCTTTTTTTGTAGTAATTCCTTACATAACACCTAAATTTTTCAGTTTACTTCTTTTGTAACATGTGCAGATCGTTTTAATGTTTCTTATTTTATTGTTATAACAACGGTTCAGGGGTAGATTATTTAAAACTACTCCATACAAAAGCTTTAAATCCTGAGAGCTGTCTTGTAGTGTACCATTATCTAAACTGTGAAATTTGTTAAAGTAATTCTAATGGCCCAAAAAGTATGCCAACAGATTGGACGTAAGATCACATTCAGCTAAAAAGATCCGTCATAATAATTTTTTTGTGAATATTATTTCCTTCAACGACTGACTGAGAAAAATACACCGTCAATGCGTAGTGACTAAAAATGTATAGAATACTTTAGAAAGTTTAAAGAATCCGTTAGTCAATCCCTGTTGAAAACGTTATTCGCAACAAATCCTAAAATAATTCTTGTCAGAAACATAAAGTCCTGCAAACAACCATCGCTCACATTGATATAAAGGCTCACTTAATGAAGGCAAAGCATTGCCTCGGTAATACTAACAGAAAAAATTTTCGTTGAAGCATCCATCAATCAAATTGTAACACTATTTAATAATTATTTGTCTTGATTGAATACAATGAAGAATCAATTCACCATTAGAAACATTGTCTAACAATCTCAACGGCTTTGTCACGTACGGTATCAGAATCCCACGTAACAGCTTATATTACTATTTAATCTTTGTATGAGAGAGCAATATATTATAGGGGTTGCTGAAAATATAAATCAACTTTGTTAAATATTAAGTGTAAAAAACTGTTCACTAAGTGCACAAGTACCACCTCATTCTTGCTGTAAATTTTTAAATTTTACATTGACTTTAAGCATTGTGGATGTATAATCAATGTATCTATTGTTTTGAGAAATAACCACGAACTGATTTAGAATCTCATGGCTTCACAAAAAAGAGATTTCTCGTGCAGCTAATCAATTAATTTTTTATGTTGTTTAAGCCAGAGGAACAGGAAATAGATTCGACCTTCTCTTTGAGTGGAAATTTGTATGACCATGTAGTAACAATATCGAATTACCATATTTATCTTTTATATCTATTTCGATCGTACAAAATCTATAACTTAGGAGAAATACATAGACGGGTGGGATGTAATTCTTGAAAATCGTGCCTCCAAATTAATTTTTTTAATGGCTTAATTAACTATAATTAGTTGAAGATCCAACGTATAATTAACAATACTTGAGTTATAGTTTTAACGGGTACCAATCAAGACATTTTTGCAAGATATTTCCCATGAAAAAATAATCTGAATTTTTCTCTTGTATCAGCTCAATAATTTTCAATCTTTGTCAATCACTTTCAATAAAGGGGCAGGCCGTAGCGTTACCACTCGGGGTCTTACAATTTATTCAAACGATATTATTCAGTTTACAAGTTATATTCGTTGCACTGCATTTACATCAACATTCTCTCTCTTACAACAGTAATAACACTTTTCTTATCTGTACTATCTCTTTGCGTGCAAAATCTAAACAAAGACGTTCGCCTGTATTAAGCTTATGTTTATCTTTCCTTAACCGCTAGCTACTTTCATTCTATTATTTCAATGTATAGACTCAAAATGCTTAAGACATTTAAATTCAACTGTTCTGCGCTACAGTCAGTCAGCTCACGGCCACTACTGAGAACGCTTCTCTCATAACAAGAATTTGTAAGTAATTTTCTGTTAATAAATTTGAATATAGTTTTAAGCAACAAGATGGTTTATTAACCCGCTGATCCAGATTCCTACTCGCGACAATTGCCATCCTAACATTACTTCCCAGCGCAAACATATTCCAACACGTAGCAAATACTGCTTGAGTTGCCTTAAAATTAGTAACCAAGTTAGAAATGAAGCAGGACTGCATTGAATGCCACGGCCTACTCTCAATACTGATCCTTCCCCAAATCCTAAAATAAACTTTTCTAAGCTTGGTATCGAAGGCTTTTTTTCGCACGTTCTTAAACATTCTAGTAATGTTAATGTACCGAATACCAATACATTCCAATCTTTAATGTGTATATGAATATATATATATATATACATAAGTCAATTTCCACCCCCTCAGTGCTTCATGCGGCAACCCCCACAATCATCTGTCATTCCATGCTTTTCTGAATAATAAATAGTATATTCGCATGGAAAAAGTATTTGGGCGACGTGAAAAAGTTCTGGTATGGATAACGTGCGTTCATTAAGACTTTACATGTACACTATTTTTTTATAACTTTTGAAGATCCTGATATTTCTTTTATGATGATATAAGGAGCAATTTTTAATTCTGCTCGCTTGTACAAATAATGATAGTAATAAAATACTAAAAAATGCATGGTCGTTTACCATTCTCCCATACTTAAAAATGTGACCCGAATGAAGAACTCTCTTCCTTTTAATAAAATTTCTACCTAATGGAGATTGAGAAACAGTTTCAAATAAACCAACTTCTTCAAGCTGTGTACAGATGTTTTCAATTTATTAACCTACAAAAGACAAGGCTATCTCAATTGCATCATATTCTACTTGGAATAAGAATAATCACAAAAATTTTATAGAAACATGTTTATATAAATGACAAAACAATAAATATTTATAACATACATTGACTGGCTTTGTAAGTCAACTCCTAATAATGAGCCACTGTAATAGAGTGGTACTTTCACGGTTCAGATTATTGCATAACTCGGACTAATTTAAATTAATACATGTATTAGCAAAATTTTGAACATAAATCATCACTAATTTTAACGAAAAAAGGCTCAGCGAACCAAGAACTTTATATTTATACATACATTGAAATAAATTAGTATGGCTTAATTTATAATCTTACTTTGTGTAACATTAATACATAAACTATCAATTGCTGGTACGTGTAAAGTCCACTTATTTGCCTCCTAGGTGCGTAAAAAATATATGAAAACAAATACTAAGAAATAAATATTTAAGTATGCATAAGGTCGGTAAAAAATGGTGGGATGCCTGGATAGAAAATTATATAAGTGTAAATAACGAAAATAAATAAATTTTTTTTCTGATTTTCCTCATGATGATCATTGTGTACATGCACTGTATATATATTCTTATACATATTATAAATCTTAAATTTGTGACAATTTTAATTACTGCCCCTGCTAAACAATTCAATTTTGTATGAGATTCCTGACCAACCTTGAACGTCGTCGCCTCTCATGTCGACTTTAACACATGACAGCGGGGACAGGGCACAGACAGAGAAGAGTAAGCACTCGCGAGTATTGTATTAAAGCAAAATATATATTCAAAACAATATAAAAGAAGAACCAAAATTCATTATACTCGCAGGTGTACGCGTGTGTGTGTGTATGTATGTTCACCCGCCGAGAGCGAATACTCGACGAGCTCGCGGCGCAAACTGGCGAACCGGGCAGACACGCGGGCTAATCAAGGGCCGCTGCCCTTTACAATAAACTGCCTATTGGCAGTACTTACAGCGTCTCCAGGGTCGCTCCTCGACGATGCCTTGGATAGGCCGAGACCACGAACGCTGACGAAGCGGGTACGCAGAGGCCAGTAGGCGTCCCTACTGGCTGCGTGAGAAGGTCAAGGTCGTCGGGGCTGACCTTGGCTCGACCTTGTAAGCAGGGTCAAGAGCCCAGTCACGGCACCAGACACTGCACCGCGACGTCGCACTGGATCACCGCCAAAGGTCGCCGATTTCCGTGATGTCAGCGGAAATCACACTACGCTCCTCGGGTATCAAAATAACAAAACTCCGATTCTCGCGTAAACTCGACGAAGAGAAATCTCGCTTCTAGCGTGCTTCAAGGCCCAAGCTAATCTAGCGCTCTCCCGGCCTTTTCTTCTCTTCCCCTGCTTTCCACATAAGTGGTGCGAGGACATGTCAGCAGCTTCCAGTGTCACCAACTAGCATGAACAAGCACTTTGTTGGTACGAATGATCCTACTCCACTGCATAGCCGGCGGCCGACTGCGCGCATCTCGCCTGATAACAGATTCTATTTTAGGCCTGTGGACTTTGGAGATCTGATTGAGGCTCTTGCTTCCTCTCATTCAAATGCTGCGGGTCCAAATGGCTTGTCTCTAAAAATTATTAAGCTAAGCATGCCTGTAATATTTCCTGTTCTTTTAGATATTTACAATGCCTCATTGCAGACTGGTTATTTCCCTTCAGTCTGGAGGAGGGCCATAGTAATCCCAATACCCAAACAGCAGCCAGCGTTAACGCCTGATTCATTTCGTCCCATCAGTATCTTGAGTGCATCCTGCAAACTTCTCGAGGCGTTGGCATACAAACAAATGCTTTATTTTGTTGAGGATAATTCCCTGCTCCATCCACTTCAGTCAGGATTCCGCAAAAGACACAGCACCAGTACTGCACTGGTTAAGATTGTTGATGATTCAAAATTGGCGATCGATAGGAGGCAGGTGACTCTTCTGGTGTCTGTGGACTTCACGAAGGCCTTCGACCTTGTCAATGTTGAGCTGCTGATTGATAAGCTTGAGGCTCTTGGATTTTCTGATATGGCATGTCTCTGGATATTGTCCTATCTGACTAATCGCACCCAAGTGGTTCGCGCCCCTGATGGAGAACTTTCGCAGGCGCTATTTCGTTCAAGTGGTGTACTACAGGGCAGTATTCTGGGCCCCCTACTGTTCACATTATTTACTAATAAGCTTCCCAACATCTGTTCTAACGTCAGTACGCACCAATATGCTGACGATTTTTTCATATACGCATCGGGCAGTGTCGAGGAGGTTGCGATGATTGCGGACAGAGTCGGTGCTGTGCTGGATGCGGTCTCTTCCTGGGCAACGGTTAATGGTCGGTAATTAATTGCAATAAGACCAAGGTGGTGTGGTTTGCCTCCAGAGCTTACTTGCACGAGATTCGGGCTTCAGTTGATCTACCTACTCTAATTATGGGCAATGTTCCGCTAGAGTTTTCATCAGAGATTACTGTGCTTGGTGTTGTCCTGGACAGTGAACTTACACTCAGAGCTCATTGCACTGCGGTTTCCAGGAAGTGCTTTGGCACATTATCGCGTCTTCGAAGATGCAGAGATTGTTTGCCGGTGGATACTCGGCTACTGCTTGTCAAGCTGCTAGTTTTTTCTCATCTGGAGTACTGCGCGTCTCTTTTCTTGGGCATCTCTGGTGAAATGAGACGCAAGCTTGAACGATGCAAAAACGCTGTACTGCGCTTTGTAGATGGTACGCCCAAGTGGCATCACATCACGCCTGTGTACAAAAAGTACTCGATTCTGAGTCTAGAAGGTAGAATTAAATATGTCACCATTTGTCTACTTGTCTCGGTCATGCGCTAGAAGGTCCCGGGGTACCTTGATGTCAACATCAATTTTCGAGCTGCTCGTGCTGAGTACTCTGAAAGGTCATCCGTAACTGAACTTATAGTTCCCTGGGCCAGAACGGAGTCTTATAGATGCAGCTTTGCGGTGGGAGCGGCGAGATTGTGGAATAATCTACCAGTCAGGCTTCAGAAAAAGGCTGCTTCACCCAACTTCAGGATCGATCTCTTGCAATATTTGGAATCAATAGATTTGCGGCTCAAATGAGGGATGTGATATTACAATTAATTATTTTGTTTATTTACTGCACTCCAGTATTGAATTTTATATTATTTTTATTCAAATTTTATGTTACATTTATCTATACTTTTTTCTTCTTCTATCTTAATTACTAATATGGACTAGATTAGACACACAGCTTGAATCTCAAACTATGTGAGCGGGCCTGCATGCCTACTATTTCCGCCAAATGTAAGGCAATGTATTAAGCTTTGGCTATTAAGGACCCTGAGTCCTTAGCCTCAATAAACTATTCAATTCAATTCCATTCAATTCCTTTCCCTTCCCACTTTCCCACCTAGTCCCTTTAACTCTTTTCCCCCTTTTCCCTGCTTCCCTACCTGTCCTAGCTTGCCGGCAATGGCCTGACGGTCTCTCACCGTTACACTTCCCCGACTAGACGTTGGATACCGGGGTATCCAACTCTACCTCCTTGGTGCCATTTAGAAAGGCTGGTGTTTAAGCTTATCCGAAAAGAAAAAGCATCGGGTACAGAAGAAAAAAAAGGGGCATTATTTACTAACGTGGAGGGGTACAAACAGTTTGAAAAAAAAAAAAAAAAAAAAAAAAAAAAAAAAAAAAAGTGTGGTAATTTATCCGTGGCTGGGTTGATCCTGGACCAGGTCACTTACAGGTCCAGCCTCCACCCACGCGCTCATACTTCAAGTGCTCGGAGGGCCTCGGGCACTCCTTGGATCGCTTCACCCCTCGAAGGCCGCACATGTAACAGCAGACGGGGCAGGCGGTGGTCCCTGTCGCCTTAGCTTTGACCGTACGGGTCTTGGTCAGGAGGCGTTCGGCCTCCTGGTAGAACTGCCGAGCCTCAGCGTCCGCCTTTCTCCTTTGCTCAAGGCGTCGAGCCACCTCGATGCGACGACGCTCTTCCTCATCATAGAGCTGACGCGTCTCACTCCACGTCTTGTGGAAGGCCGCAAAGCATCTATGGCCGATAAGGGCCGTCTTCTCAGCTTGGGAGGTCATGTTCGTGGAGCCGTGCTCTCGAACAAAGGCCTCAATTTCCGCGAACGCAACGGGCTTGCGAGCCCAATTAAGCCGTTCCAGGATGCCTTCCCAGGCGGCGTCCAGGCCGGCAGCGGCTCGTTTGAAGGCCTCGACGAGCTCGGTAATCTCCCGCTCGTTCTTGGCACATCTTAGGCGCCTTATAAGGTTGCCCAGACTAATGGTTACTGTCTCCATTTGAAACAGTTCTGCCCCAAGAAAACAAAAAAACCAAAAAAAGTGGGGAGAGACAAAGAAAGAACATGATCACATTGGATGGAGGTGCTTACAATTCTAACGTTTTGTTAATTTTCGGGGCCACAAACATGGCACGTCGTTTGTTGGCTGACCCATCGCTAGGTCGCCTATTCCGAAGTCGTCACGTGGTCTACCATCAATCTCAGGCGTCTTATCCACGGCGGATGGCTTCGACGCCACGGTCGCTTTTCGCGGGCGGCCTCGCTTCGGCCTGGCTGGTCTGGCAGCCTCACTTACATGAGATGGGCTCGCGATAGGCAGGTCGCGCTTCACCTGTTCACCGCTTTCCAATGGTGATTAAGGAGCGCTAACCACATCGTTAGGCCCCGAGTCGTTAGAAGGAGGGTTTTCTCTCGCCGTCGCTGAGGTTCTACTCAAGTAGGGTTTTAACTGCCTCACGTGAATTGGGCCCGATTGCGTGCCTTCTTCAGATTCCAACTCGTATGTGTTGGAACCCAATGCCCTCCAGACGGAAAAGGGGCCGACGTACCTTGAGGCCAATTTCACTGCCACGCCTTGCGTTGCCGAGGACAAGACGTGGTTCTCCCGCCATACCTGGTCACCGGGAGCGTAGATCACGTCGCGATGCTTGGCATTGTAATGCCAGGTGGCATTGGCTTGTGCCTTATCACTTCGCTGGGTTACTTCCACGTGCAACATCGGCAAACGCTTCATGCACTGCTTCCAGCTCTTTAGTGCCTCATCCTTTAGGCGTTGCTGGGCCGTCGAATCGACCTGTCGGCGCATCGCACCTGGGGCGTATGGTTCCCTACCACTGTTAAGCATCGCGGGGGAGACGCCTGTGAAATCGCGCCTCTCTGTGCTCTAAGCGAATACACGTTCAGGTAGCTTCTCGTCCAATGACCTACGATTGGCTTCAACAAAAGCTCGAATCATGGTCTTGATGGTACGGTTCCGGCGTTCAACCGGGTTCGCCTGCGGGTGATACGGCAGCGTAAGCATGTATCGTAGACCCAGACTCTCCAAGAATTCATCGACGTCTTTGTTTCGGAACTCCGTGCCGTTATCCGTCAACAGCGCTTCCGGAGTATCTTGTCGACAGATGACGCGATCTCTCAGTGCGCTCACAACAGCCTTTCCATTGGCTCGCCGTAGCAGCACAAGTTTGGCCCACCTCGTAAATAGATCCTCGATCACGAGGATGTATTCGTGGCCGTGTGTTGTCTTCGGTAGGGGGCCCATTATGTCAGCAGCCACTACTTGCCATGGAGCGGTGATCATCTTACGCCCCATAAGTCCTGGGGGTGGCCTCTGGTCTACCTTGGTTTGTCGGCAAACCAAGCAGCTCCGCACGTAACGGGCAACATCCTGGTAGTATCCCGGCCAGTAGTATAACCGGGAGACACGCGCAAATGTCACAGGGCCATTCTCGTCACTCTCATACAGTCATGACAGGGCATCAGGTACGCAGTTTTGCGTCCTTTTCCGGTGTTCAACCTCGAAGCCATGGCTTTGATGCTCCGTGGCCTATCTTAACAGTCGTCCAGTCGGGTTTTTAATACTAACCAACCACCGGAGACTGCTGTGATCGGTCACGACTTTAAAGCATCCCTTCGATATACGGGCAGAACTTTCGCGTCACCCATAAGACCGCGAGGCATTCTCACTCTGTCACACTGTAACTGCGTTCAGCCGGTGTCAGCGAACGGCTCGCAAACTCCAGCACTTTTGCCTGTCCATTGACTATCTGCGACAGTACGGTGCTTAGTCCGGAGTCACTGGCGTCCGTTTGCACCACGTACAGACTCTTGGAATCAGGTCGTTGTAGCACAACCGAGGACGTAAGCAAAACTTTTGTCTGATCGAAGGATCGTTGTTGTTCGTCTTTCCAATCGAACGGCTGTTCTTTACGCAACAGCCTGTTGATCGGTTCTACTACCATCGAGTAGTTTGGCAGGAACTTCTGGTACCATGAAACAACGCCTAGGAACCGCCTAAGTTGTTTCAGGTTCTTCGGAGCCGAAAATGACGTAATTGGTTCGAATTTAGCCGGATCCGGTCGTAAACCATCTCGGTTTACGAGGACACCGAGGTATCTCACCTCGGGTTGACAGAACTCACTCTTTCCTCGGTTGAAGGTGAATCCTGCTTCACGCACGCATTTTAGCACGTGCTATAGCCACTTGAGGTGCTCCTCGAATGTCTCCGTGACAATTATTATGTCATCGAGGTAGGCATAGGCATAGGGCTCGAGCTCCGGCCCAATGACGCTGTCGATTAGCCGCTGAAACGTCGTCGGCGCATTACTCAGGCCAAACGGCAGCCGTCGGAACTGAAAGAGTCCCTTGCCTGGCACGGTGAATGCTGTTACTGGATTAGCTTTCTCGGCTAGTGGTATCTGGTGATACGCGCTGCTGAGATCAAGGGTCAAAATGAAACACGCTTTTCTCAGCTTGCGAAAGATGGTATCTATATGTGGCAATGGATAAGCGTCGGGTGTTGTCACAGCGTTAACCTTCCGGTAATCGACGGAAAAACGATACTTCCCATCCTTCTTGCATCATGACTACGGGACTTGCCCAGCCATTATTTGATGACTCAATCAGGCCACTTTCGAGCATCTCACTCACGTGGGCATGTATTACCTCCTGGATCTTATCCAATACCGAGTATCACTTCTGCATGATGGGTCGCGAGGTCGTGATCTCGATCTCGTGCTCGACCCATGTAGTGCATCCTAAGGGAGCTGCACGCTCTACATAACGGTCCAGGAGGGTCTGCAACTCCTCTTGTTGCCTGGACGAGATTTCGTCCAACCCGACGGCAGCGAGTCGGACCTCACCGGTCGCCGTTACGCCCGCTACCTCTAGAGGGACCTTGGTACCTTGTCCTTTCAGCACCAGGACTCTATCAACAGAATCATGGACGGCCCCGAAGGCGTTGATGAAGTTAGCACCGACGTAGCAGTCAGCGTCTAACTCGGACAATACTATGACGTCCACGTCCCGTTTCACCCCTCCCAGCTCGAAAGGTAGAGTGACGAAGCCTAAAGTGCGTGACGGTCGTCCTTCAGCCATCACCGTGCTCCCTAGCGTGGGGCGTAGTTGCTGACGACAGGAGTTGGCTATATGGAGCCCGGCTGCTCGCATGACAGTGTGCGTAGCGCCAGGGTCGTATAATGCTCGCAGCTTGTACCCGGCTACTTCAAGCTGTAGCCATCACAAGCGCGCGTCCTCCGATGCAACCGCGGCCTGTGAGGGTTGGGTAGAAAGAGGCGGCGGGATACCCTGCCTCCTTTCGTTTCCCTGCCTTTTATTCGGGCAATCCCGCGCGTAGTGGCCAAGGTGGTTGCACTGATAGCAGCGCGGCTGCGACTTTACGTTCGATCGCCGGACAATTTGTCCTAAATCACGGCATATGGAGTCGACGTACGACCTGCCTGACCCTGACTGTTTTTCCGCCAAAGGCGGAAGACTCCCCCCCGACCAGACTTGACGCGTGAGGTCAACTGGTACAGCCGA